GGGGTGAAAAGTGGCGAAGTGAAAAGAGACGCCTTGCTGCATTTTCACGATCCTAACAGGTATAGTCCAACAAATGGAAAAAAAATGGAACGGGAAAGTAGTCTGTGTGATGTTTTTTTTGCCAGGTTCCATACCTTTTTCTCATGTAAGCTAAAGGTAAAGGTATACCTAATGTACGTCTTAGAACAGCTGGACACAGCGATTGAATGAAATCCCCTTCCTGAAAATTTCATGTGTATGTTGCTTTTCAGGAATTGCTTCAAAAGCACTAGAGTATGAAGAAGACAAAATATAGGATGTTATGGTTACGCAAGCAGGAAGTTCTCCCATATAAACATAATTACAGTTGGCTCGAGGGAACCTGGAGAATCAGGAGGGATTTTTTGAACGGTGTCAGACATTTTGAATTCGTGGATTCGCTAGTGAAGTTTGCAAAGTCTGACGCCGTCCTCAGCAATTTGGGTGGTACGAGCGTTACGCCAGCGGTTCGAATGATGCACCCGAATAATCGTAGATTTGCTGTTGCTCCATTCGCCTCGAATTGCTGACTAGTGTCGGACTTTGCGACTCCGAAGATTCCTGGCGAATCCACAGATTCGCGAAGTCTGACTGTGATCTTCGAGGGTTTTTGGTATGTTTAGCAAAGTGTTATAGACTCAGTTTCAAATGTGGAGTAAGAGTGTTCTTTCTGCGTTTGCCATCTGTCCCCCTCTCCTGCCCCCACTTTCCCCTCCATCCCTCACTTCCTTTACAGTATATGGTGATGTGGAGGAACTTGTAACGCTCACTGGGAGAGAGTTCAATAAACTCTAAAGTGAAGTGTGTCTGATAAGAATCATGTGCATGGCGCAATCTGTACGACGGATTGCTAATGTGGAACGATTTGCTATGAAATCTTTGCGAAAAATGGCCTCGGATCTCGCACCCTTACGATTGAAGAGGCATTCCGTTATCTGATCGTTAGGTCAATTCCTTCTACAAGCACTTGGCTGGGTACGCAGCTGCGGTCATTTTCGCTGCTTCAAGGGTGTAAAGCGCGCTAGGGGCTTAGACTTTGAGACCATGACCACCTCAAGCACTCATACACGCCCACTGTTGCGGTTTCTGCTGTTCACTACCAGCTGTGCTCTTTTGTCTTCTTTTGTCCAACTCCCAATGCTTCTTGCCACTTCATTAGCTAAACTCTGGTACTGCCATGAGCAAGAAACAAGCCTTGTTTGAAATTCAGTAGTTTCTTCTTCTGTTTTCTTCATTGGAAAATCATCTAGAAACTGAAGTTCCGTATTTCAAGCCTAAATTTACCCCGTATGTGCTGTCGCGATATGTGCCTTTTAGTCTCCAGCATGAAACAGTTCCTTGATAAGAAGTGCTAATTAGTTCTTGCCCTGTTTTGATTGAGAAGTTGGCCGCCACAGGGCTGGCCACCTTCTTACCGGTCTGCATCAGTTTGGTCGCTTATCAGAAGACGAGTGTCCATCAGAATTAGAAACACAACCTTATCGTTGTTGTGTGTTGTGTGACGAGTTGTAGTCAACCCGGTCACACTTACAAATACGAAGCTACCAATTCAAGCTACACCTGGTCCTTAAAGCAACAGTCCAGGAACGAATTTGCGGGCCAAAAGCACCTATATGGAAGTTGTAGGTGAAAAGTGGTCGAACGTAAAGAGAAAAAGTGAAGAAAACGCCCAACTGGGGCTTAGACAGGGACATGCCCTGCCGTTTAGGGAGACGTGTGTTGGACGAGTTGTCCGAACCTGCCCGTAGTACATGCGCTTAATTGCAACTGCTGGCAAATAGCTGCATGCTTGCAAATACATAACTATTTGCCAGCAATCGAAATTGAAGCGCTTCAATTGCGTTCTTATGGAATCGACCTCATACAGCGCGGCGGTCCCGCAACGACCGCTAGTCAAGCGCGGACTCTGCACAGCGTATGTTGGGCGATCCGCCTCTTTATGGGTGATCCGCCCCCTCCAAGAGGACTTCGACCCCTTCCAGCGCATTTTAGAGGTAGGTTTTGAAATTAAAGACATTTCCTATAAACTTTAGTTGGGCTGGGGCATGTTTTGACCGCCTAATGACCAAGTAGTTGAAACCCTGCCTGGACTGTTGCTTTAAAAGGGAACACAGTCGAAATTGAAAGTAAAGATCACTTCAATTCCACACGAATTTGCGTGTAAAAACGACATCGATAACGAAGCGCGGATGGCAGTGGCCTGCTGATGAGAGAAAAGCAAAAAAAGAAGCGCCGATGGAGCTTCGAACAGGTAATTCACCTGTCTTCGCCGTCAAAAATGAAGCATCTGGACGATTGTTAAAGCGCGCGCATGTAATGCGCCCCCAGTATTCTGGCAATAAGCCAGCCGCTCAGAAAAAAGTGCGTCTATCTGCAAAAAAAAAGTCTGCAGCATCACATTGTCTGCTTTAAAGAACCGAGATTAATATTCCCTGTGGTCCCGAAACGATCGCAAATGCCTCCGCAGCCAATCACACGCTCTCACGCGCCGTTCTATCGTTGGACTTTTTATCAAAAATTTTTTACGGACCCCTCCCCGAAGAGGACTGCATGCGACTGCTTTTCGACACCTCCACCACTCAACCCACGAAACTCCGCCCACTTTTTCCTCCAAAATTGCCGTCGAGCGGTGGGTATATAGCTACTCCGAAACGGTTGAAATTTTCGAAAATTTCCTATAATTTCCTCTATTTCCACCATTTCACCCCTACTTTTACCCAATTTTACCTATCTTCCCACAACCTCATTTTCTAGGGGGTATATACGCACGCTGAAACGGCGAATTTTCTCCCATGCGCTCCCAACTCACCTAGCCTACTACTCGTGAAAACTCCACTTTCACCACAAACTCACATGTAATTTCACGCGACTGAAGCGGATACGACCCCCCCCCTCCTATAAACTCAACCAGGTACGACCCCCCGTTGTTACTAGTAACAACGTAGGGTTGACCCTGTGGGACTCTTGTTTTACCAGCGAAAGAATACGCCAGAAACAAGCGGGTGCCGTTTATAGTCAGCGTCGAGTGTTGCATGACGAATATATGTTTTTCTTTCATTCATTCATATCGTATGCATCTATTTTATAGGCCCTACATATCACAAATTATCGAAGTTACAATTTTTCCATACCCTGTTGATTCCTACATCCAAGAAATTTCTGCGCTGCCAGCTCTACAGCATAAATTGCGACGCGCTCCCAAAAAATTGATTAACTCCGGTGATTAGTAGTTGCATAGTTATAGCGTGATGTGATAAAGTAATATATGGTTAGTTAGTGATAATTGGTGCTACAACCGTAGCAAGCGGTAAAACTACCACATTTTGTAGACGTATCATTACCTGTGTTGCGAAGCCTGTAGTTAACACGTAACTGTCTGCCGGAGACGGAGGTTATCTGTCTTTTGAGTGAAATTAATCATTACCCCATGGTAAAAGCAGTGAAATAATCGAAACTGTGGCATGTATTAAAAATGTATATTGGTGATTGTAAGCAAAAAAGGCGTGAAATGGTAGGGACGAAGACGTTTTTATTGTTTCAAGAGATCAAAGACATCGTTCAAGGATTTTTTACTGTGAAATGTAAAAAGGAAGACTGCGACTGCAGTCTCTTACAAACAAGAACGAAGAATTCGTTGCTATCTCTACATGGCGCCGTCCTACGTCTATATGCTGTTCTCCGGATTTGGAATTAACTCTTATAAAATTAGAGAACCAAGCGCTATTGCAAGATACGGAGGCGTCCTGTAGGACTAAGCCTTTGGAAGACTCCAGGAAATCTGAGAAAAAACCGCTTGCTGCACGAAAACTACTGAATTGCTCAAGCTCCCAGGAGTCCATTCTCCCCCGCCTGAAGATTAGTGTTCTTTTCGCACAAAAAGGAGATGTTTCAAGCGATTTCAAGTGCACTGCTAATGTCCCTGTATCTTGCGATAGCGCAGATCATGATGGAAGACCTGGGTGTTCCGTTCGAGCTCGTGCATCAATGAGAAGTTGGAACTCTTGGGTAGTGTCTTATTCCATGAAGTAATAAAAAGGAAAAGTAATTCGGTTCGTATATGGTGTCGTTGGTAATGGAAGCGGTTCCTGCTCCAGCTAAGGTTGTCCACTTCACCTCCAGCTACAAGACAGATTCAAGTGTTCCATATCCCTGAGGAAGCCTAGCCACCAAACCAATAGAGTTTTATGGTTGCAAGGGTTGCATGGGTATCAATTATGGCGTCTTTTTGTCATCTTATTTCATATTTTTTGTGATTTCCTTGTTTCTTTTGATTGCTCAGTTCAATCAATGTTGATGCGTACATCTTTATTTCATTTCATATTCATCGTGATAGATCAAATAGGAGTTGCCAGATTTCTTCCAAATCTGGGTGAAATTTCCGCTGACGACGCCAATTTTCGCGGACGTTGTTTCGTACCCAGCAGTGACGACAATGTAGTCAGGAGCCATTTGATATTTATCATCGATGAGCTGGAAAGGGCGTTTTTCTTGAGGCGTAGAAAATCAAATTAATGTGGATCAATCAAACCTTCGTTGTTGCTTTGCCCAGCATGTCGTCGAGTCAACAGCTCCTGTTTGATAGCTGAAAGAAAATAAATTGATGATAATTCCAGATCCTCCACTATGTTTGTTATTGGTCTCGGCATCCAGCTCGATTCCCTTCATTCAATATTTCTTCTAAACTCTGAACACTAAAAAATATGCAGGACGTAACTCGACAACATGTCACACTCCTTTATGGTAAGTGCAACACTTCTATCCGACCCTAGCGCCTTAAAGGGAAGTTTACGATGAAAAGGCAGCTATTGGGAATCAAGATAGAGGTAGTCGATGGTGAGAAGTGAAGAAAAACTTATGAGAAATGGTTTAAAACCGGAGAAATGGGATCCCTCCTATGCCCGTTGGAGTCTGCATTGATGCAACTCTCATAGTTGTTGTCCCTCCTCAACACTAGCGTTTCTTCTGCTAAACGGTCAGGCCGATGTCAGAGTTTGCGTGTCGTGTCGACGGGGGTGTCGTAACGACAACGACAACGTTCATGGCTTATTCTCCCTTAGTTTTTCTTTCTTGTAATCTGAAATGTTGCTTGGACGAATTGTTTCAAAAAGATGCTTCGATTTGCAGGCTCCGAAGAAGGCGAGTGCGCCGAAACGTTAGCCGGATAAATCGTATATCAATCTCGGAAGCTTGAACAGAAGCAATTAACGCTGATAACCAGTTGTTCACAAATACCATCAAATGTCTGTAAAGGATTCAGTATCAGCAGTGAAATATCACCTGCTCGTCCATATACAGCATTCTTCCCTTTCTGGACCAACACTGCATCCGGGTGATAGTAACCAGCTGCCTGAAAATATAATGTTTTAAAACGTAGCTGTTGCAATTGAAGCCATGAACCGGGATGAGATGCCGAGTGCCAGACCCTCCTTTAGTGAAAAATACGGGTTCCGAAGAGCAGGAGCCGCGGCAGTGCCGCAGCTCAATAGGTATGCAGCGAGGGCGCTAATAAGGCCTTACCTTGCACGCTGCCGGCGCTGCCACTCTATTCGCGGCATACGTGGCGTCTGCGCCCTCTCGCGTACGACGTACTCTCTCGCGTTTTCCCTCTCCTCGCAGCGCTGTGTCTCTCCGTCATACCACGGCCGGCCTCCAAGGGAAATTTAGTGTTTTCTATGGTGCTTTTTGCTTTTTCTCCTCACTAATGTTCCTCATTGCACCCCTTGCCTAATTTTGAACAAAATAACATCAATTCAATCCCGACTCGTGCCTTTGAGCAAAGGCATCGTGGTTACGATGAAGGAGCAATCAAAGGGTTTGGCTTTAGTAAGCACATTCTGCCAAACGAGGTTTTTTACCGTTCTGGATAGTGGAAGCTGCTTGCTTCGGCCTATGAGGTCCGAAATCTGATCCACTGTATCAGTCGTATAAATAAAGGAGTACGAATGGAACACGGAAATGCGGGTTCTAGTCCCGCCTGGGGCGAAAGTTTTGTTCACAACCCAGCATTCTTGTGAAACATTCGCAAGGCGAACTGCGGCCAAAAACAGCAGTTAACAAACAAAAACAAGTACGACTTCCGTTTTGCAGGTGCCCACATACGGAAGTCAAGCATGCAATGATAGTACCCTTATGTCCTCATCAATATGGAAAAGGAGGGACGAGGAATCGGTCACTATAATGAGTAATAGAACAATGTCTAACCGATTTACCGGCACTGATAGGAAAGGAAACCAAGCTTAGTAATCAACCCAGGCTGCTTTGCAATGGGAAAATCCCCTGATCCCTTCGAAATTGAAGGGATTGCCCACACAAGAGCTGTTCTGGATGTCATTTAGGACGGTTTGCGGACTGGAAGTGCTTTTATGACGCGATGCACGGCAGGTGCGGAGCCAGTAAGCTTTAAGCGTTGGCTCTCCAACTCCAAAATTGTGACAGTTTTTTTTCTCTTGAAGGTTTCTCAATACGCTCCTGGGTTGTTTGGATTATTTCAAGACCAACGCTGAATTTTCGTTTTTTTTGTTGTCCTCGTTAAATAAGG